CAGACTGACTGGAGTCACACTGAGTGGAGTTGTTTTATATGTTGAATGTAAATGTACAATAATATGTTTGTACTGAATGTCTGTAGATGTTGTGATAATTGTTACCTCTTTGGCAACACTGCAATTCATCAGTCATGAATAAAGCTGTTTGAATCTGATTTGAATTTGAGGAGAGGGTGGGAGAGATAGGAGAGTTCCCCCTCTCTCCCTCTGTCAAGTTGTCTCTCTCAGTGCTGTTTGAAGACGCACAGTTGAAGGTAAACAGTGGGATGGGAAAGTCATGTCCTGTATTGGGGCGAGATGTGGGGGGGCTGTCACAAGGCCAGATAGACATGGGGGGGGATTACACACATTACTGCCATAGTACTGAGCACCAGCGAGAGCGTGAGAGAGGCAGGACTCCCAGCTACACAAGTCTTGAATTATGAACTCTGAGCTCCAATGCCAACTGAACTGCAGCTGCAGTGCATTCTGGAATGTTATAAAACTGGAGTGCAGAGTATAGAGCAGTACAATGCAGTTCAGTCTTGGGGAGTACAGTTCATTCTGGTGCACTCCATGACAGTACTGTGCAGATCAGTGGATTTCAGTTCGGTTTAATCCAGTGTAGTACAGTGCAGTACAGTATAGATCAGCCCAGTGTAATACGCCTGATTGCAGTACAGTTCATGCCAATACAGTGTAGTGTACTTAATTTCAGTACAGTTGCACTTACCCGGTGAAGTATAGTGCAGTGCAGCACAGCTCAGTGCAGACAAGTACACATTAGCCCAGTGTAATACAGTTAATTCCAGTGCAGTGTAATACGGTTCAGTCTGGTACTATGCAATGCCGTGTAGTACAGTACAGGTCATCCCAGTGCAGTACAGTACAGTGTAGTAGTGTAAAGTACAGTACAGTTCATTCCAGTGTAGTACATTGCAGTACAGTGTAATACAGTGTAGAACAGTTCAGTACAGTGCAGTATATTATAGTACTGTAAAGAACAGTTTCAGTCCAGTACAGTGTCGAACAGTCCAGTACAGTGTAATACAGTGTTGAACAGTCCAGCACAGTGTAGTACAGTGTAATACAGTGTTGAACAGTCCAGTACACTGTAATACAGTGTAGT